ATGAAGTCCAAGGATGACGTGGAGGAATACGATGACATGGAGATTGACGAGCTTATGGTTGGCATAGTCCCAGAGGAGGACAAAGCAGTTGAAGTGGAAGAGGTTGAAGCGAAAACCGCACCACAGCCAACAATTGACGAAGACGGCACCCGAGGAGGAACCGATGAAGTCAAGCAGGAACCGAAGACATCAAACAATATGACATCTGAGGAACATAATGCCATACTTCTCTCGGATCCCAAGATCTGGAAATCATCAACGGCGAACCCCGATTTCTTGAAGCAGTTTTACTCGGAAAGTCGTCTTCACCATCTTTCGACCTGGAAAGCTGAGCTGAAGTCGAAGATGCAGAATCTCGCCAAGGAAAAAGGGCCATCTCTCAAGTCGGTGCGGAGGAGGCCAGGGTCACGGCGGTACGTTATCCACGTCGATTTTGACAGCTTCTTCTGCGCTGTTTCCCTCAAGAAGAACCCACAATACGTCGACAAACCAACTGTAGTTGCTCACAGCAGCGGCACGGCCTCGGAGATTGCAAGCTGTAACTACGTTGCGCGCAAATTTGGAGTCAAGAATGGCATGTGGATGAAGCGAGCACTTGAGCTGTGCCCGGATATCAAGGTCTTGCCATACGATTTCCCCGCGTATGAAGAAGCCAGTCGACTGTTCTACGAGTCTATTCTCGATATTGGAGGAGTTGTCCAGAGTGTCAGCATCGACGAGGCCCTCGTTGACATCACGTCAATCATTCTGTCCTCTGCCGGATCCGATGGCGCAGGGGTTGACGAAGGCAATATCTGGAGAGAACAGGAAAAGGCTGAGGAGATTGCTCTCACCCTGCGTAACAAAATCAAAGACGCGACTGGCTGTGCCGTATCAGTTGGAATTGGGGCCAATATTTTGTTAGCGAAGGTCGCGCTACGAAGAGCGAAACCAGCCGGGCAATTCCAGATAAAGCCGGAGCAGGCGTTAGAAGTCATTGGTGAACTTGAGGTGAAGGACCTGCCTGGGGTCGCCTACAGTCTTAGTGGAAAGCTCGAGGAGATCGGTGTCAAGTTTGTCAAAGATATCAGACAGGTATCTAAGGAGCGGCTATCTTCTTCGCTTGGACCAAAGACGGGAGAGAAACTTTGGGAGTATGCTCGCGGCATTGACAAGACCGAGGTGGGCGAACAAACACCTCGAAAGTCCGTCTCGGCAGAGGTCAACTGGGGCATTCGCTTCATCAATCAACAGGAAGCCGAAGAGTTTATACTCAATCTGTGCAAAGAGCTGGAGAGACGCCTGCTCAGTGAAGAGGTCAAGGGCAAGCAGTTCACAATGAAGATTATGCGACGAGCTCAAGACGCACCCCGAGATCCACCAAAACACCTAGGGCATGGAAAATGCGATTCATTCAGCAAGAGCGTTCTGTTTGGAGTCGCAACTCACAACGCCGAAACCATTGCCAAGGAAGCTGTCTCGATTCTTCGATCCTACAAGTTTACCCCGGGTGACCTTCGAGGTCTTGGTGTCCAGTTGACAAAACTGGAGCCTCTCAAGTCTAGCAATACTGGGCTCGAAAGCAGTCAACGACGGTTGGCATTTCCAAATTTTGGTGGCCAACCGTCGGCAAAGAAGGCTCAAGTAGAATCGATTGAGGATTCAAAGAGTCCTCAGAAGACAAGGGATGCCCAAACTCGGGGCGATGTGTCTGTAGATCCCATTGCAGATGACCCGTTAACACCCAGAAAGCCCAAAGTGCATCCTGCTTTGGCTCTAGCATGGGCTGGTGAAAGGGACGAAAAGGCCCACACTCCTCTCAACATCATGGGCACTCAATTCATCCTTCCCTCCCAAGTCGACCCTGCGGTGTTGGCTGAGCTGCCAGGCGACATACGAGCTAAGCTTCTGAGGGGCCAAAGACCAAAGCCGGAGTCTAGACAGGCATCTCCTCAAGTGAAATCGCGGAGTAATAGTCCGGCGGTTCAGGATGAGATGATCCCATCTCAAGTTGACCCGGAGGTCTTCAACGCTTTGCCGGATGACATGAAAGCTGAGGTCCTGGCGCAGTATGGACGCAAACCGGTGCAACAAACCCGTTTGCCGCAATCACCACGCAAGGACCGACTTATCCAGGGGAAAAAGCCAATCACGCCGACAAAGCGAGGCAAAAACTTGTTCAACGTCAGGGAGAGGCAGCAGGATGCAGCTGCCAATCGCCAGCAGACGAACTTCTTGGCGAACAAAGGCCCTGCGAATGCCGCCCAGGAAGAAGACCCAGAAGAGCTGGATCAAGCATTCCTCGCAGAGCTCCCAGAGGACGTCCGGAAGGAGATCATCGAAGACCACCGCAAGAAGCGGCTGGCCAAACGATCTGGTCTCCTGTTCAACGCCCCCAGAAGGCAACAGAATGGTGAGTCGAGCGACGCTGCGCCCGCTGGACAGACTAAGTTGCATTTCCCTGCGCCGCCCCCCAAGATGAACTTCATGGGTTCCGCCGTGAAGTCCATCCAGGAGATCAAAGACATGCTCGAGGCCTGGCACGACGGGACGCGGTACGATGGGCCGCATCAAGACGATGTCAAGGTCTTTGAGAAGTATCTCGTCAGGGTCGTCTCGGAGGAGCGAGACATGCAAAAGTCCTCGAAGCTGGTGCGGTGGCTCGACTGGCTGGTGGAGGACGACGGCAGCGAGGGACGGGGTAAGCAGGGGTGGAGGAAGACGGTCGTGGATATCAAAGCGGCTGTCCAGAGGGCTGTTGAGCAAAGAGGCTTGGGTCCCGTGAGATTGTAAGGCTATCGTATACGTCACGAAGTTATGATAGGATACCATTGATTGCGTTTGCAGTTTGGCATCGATTTACCTTATGCAGCGTTTCTGAGGCGGCAATTGAAAAAAGCATCGTGATGTCTGACTTTTGACCTCACATGTGAGATGCACGTTGAGATTTACGCTGCGAGAGTGAGACAAAATCATCAATTCAGAGATTCTATAGGCCAGATGCACACATAACAGGGGGTATCCTCCAAAGAAACAATAAAACGCTGCTGTCGTGTAACCATTCTTTCGTCCTTCGAAGAGGCTCTCTCCCATGACCACCAAGACACCTCATCACTAGACCATCACATTTTACAGCAATACGTACGTCGCCAAGCCGCCCACGACAATCGCGGCCCACGACGCGGCTGCTGGCGACGATCGCAAGCCGGCGCTGACCATGTACACGCTCAACTTGAGCGCACCGCCGCAGACCATGCCCTGGTTTCCGTCGCAGGGCAGGTTGCACTGGCTATCGTCGAGCTTGACCGCCAGGCCTGAGATTCTCTGGGCGCACCAGCATTCGCTACGCACATTTGAGCTCGTCAGTCTTGTTTCTCGTCTTACACACACAGCGGGCATGGCCTTATCGGAGAGGTTTGAAGGAAAGAAGGGAGGGGGAGAGAAGCGAGAAGAGTGAGAACACGTACCGGGAATACTCGACGCCGGCGTAGGTGTACTGCTTATCGGCGCCGGTGCTGCAGAAGCTGAGGCATAGCGGCACCGTCATATTGCCCTCCATGACCTTGGATGCGCCGCCCGAGAGAGCGCGCTCGTGGGCCGTGTTGGGGAGGTCGTTTGTCTCGTTGTAGCAGCCTTGGTACTTGTACTTGTCGGAGCCCGTGTAGATTGAGAGCTGGGCCGCCGTGAGGGGCGCGAGGATGGCGAGAACGGCGAGGAGGAGGAGGAGGAGACGGGAGAGAAGGGAGTTGCGGGCCATTGTTGTCGTTTTGGGGTGTTTCTTGGAAATAAGGCTGTAGTTGGATGCGATTGTAGTCGGGGGACCTCGTTTCTGTCCTTCTCTTGCTATCTATTGAGTCTTTCTTGGTGAAGCTGTGGGAACTTCGGCAGTGGCGGGATCGTCGAGTATTGTTTCTTTGCGCGCTGAGTAGAAGACGGTTATCGACGCTTATCTGGAACCAAACAATGGCACACCGGATATCATAAATCGTAAGGGGAGATTGGGACACGGGTATGGCATATTCTCATGCTAAGGTCATCTCTTGGTCGGTTCTCCTTCAAGTCGTCCAAACACAAAACACCGAAATGAGCGAATGAGTGAAGCAAAAGAGCGCAGAGGCAAGACGAATGAGAGAAAAAAAGATAAGCAGGCTAAATCACCTTTATTCCGTCCGGGCGGCGCGAAACCCCTTCAAGGAGATTTGCACACCATCACTGCGCCGCGATGAGGCTGGAAGCCATTGGTGGTTTGGGTTTAGTGCCCAGACGCTACCGCACCCTTTCGATAAACCTCACAAACGGGAAAATCTCACATTCAGGTCCCTCAGGAACGGTCCAATTGGTTCTTAGCGTCCGGGAGCCCGCTAGAGGTCTCGCGTGGTTTGCATAGGCTCAAAAACGCACATTTCAGGGGAGGGCCCTTGTTCGCACTTCGGGAGAATAGTGAGTTGTCTCCACTACAGCTGAAGTTTGGGGCGTGTTCTAGACCAGATTGAGACGGGCGAGAACGATCTCTTTGGGTGGGAGTTGGGTGTGGTCCGTGGGCGAGCCCGGCGCCGGGGTTTGATGATGAGGGCGAAGATCTCAGCTGTTTCCACTACCAAGAATGTGAAGCATACATTTTCTCTCGTGAGGCTTTGGCATTTTCTTGTAATGTAGTCACTTGATGAACTCAAACGGCATGCCATTATGTTGTAAATTACTATCATTATTGTGAATGTCTCGTTTCGCATCCCATCTCATTCTCATGGTTTGTACCAAGAGACGAATTACCACTATCCATGATCTGTTCTAATTAGACCGAGGGGCGCACCGGGCGGCAGATGTTTTCCAACGTCAACATATTAGCTGCCAATCTGCATTTCACTCTCTTTTCGGTCTCTTCTTCCCACAAACACGCATATGGGTGGCCTTAACAGCTGGCCGCTGGCTTCTGATTCCACCATGATAACGACTTACTGCAGTCTTTCAGAATGACCGTGTCCGGCTTTGACAGAGGTCCTCTGGTAAGCGATTGATATGGATCACCTCCGATGATCCTTGTCCTCTTCTTTCTCGAAGATACAATAGACAGCTGAGCTGCCTTGGACTTGGCCATCGCGTTCCGTGCTGGTGTGTTCTGAGAGTACGAGAACCCACAGCATCGGACCGGCTGTGTTGCAGCATTGCTTGCTGTCTGACAGAAGCTCATCCAGTTCAGCGACGCCAGTCTCGGCGAATTTTGTGTATACCCTCAGCTCGTAATCGCTCAGATACGTTTGCGCGTTGCCTTCGTCTTCAATCATCTATTATCACTTCAACCCATCAGAGTCGTAATCACAATGCGTCACTTTGACCAGCGGTAGTTAGCACAGGTACGCACACTACCCCTAACCCGGGGCCTCCAGGAAGCAACTTACAAAGCGCTAATTTCCAAGTCTCCGAATATCCTCGCCTTGAGGGTAACCTCAATATCAAGATTCAACCCCAAGTGTACCGCAAACCCTCGGCTCTCGGACCCGGCATGCTTGTGCTGCTGTTGCCGGACGGGTCTTGTCTTCCGGGACCTTCGCCGTCCCCGGCCGAGATTTTGACTAATCTGTCTCATCGGAAACTCTCTTTCGGATTCGGTTTCCGACAAAGACATGTCCGTCGACGGCCCCGCTAATACGGCCGCGGGCGGCGGGGCGGGAAGCTCGTAGTCTATCATCGGCTTATCATCGTCTGGAATTCGTGTCGGGTCCTTATTGTTGGAGTTGTCCTCATCATCTCCGCCCATGTCGATGAATGATGTTTGTTCGACTGGTAGGGAGTTGTCAAATGGCATCGGGCACCATATGAATCTATCGTCGGCGAGAGGCTCTACGGAGCCGTACATTTCTTTCGGCAGCCATACTGTCAAGCTGTCGCGTTTTGCCATCTCTTCTACTTTTCTCTCTCTGTTCCTTTCTATAGCGAGTGTAGTATAAGCGAGTGAAGTGTAAGTACGTAAAAAGAACAGCGAGAGTAAAGAAGTGAGAGACTGTCAAGAATTTGGCCAAAAGGATAGATGCATTTCTATCCAGAAATTGGGAAAACAGTCATCTAAGTACGTCTCCGGCCCCGACAGACCAACTCTTTCATCATATCCCCCAACATCAACCACCATCAGCAACGAGCCAGCACCTCACAAAATCTTGGCACACAGCACCGAGCAGGATTCGAAAAGCCTGGCCGGCCCTCTCACCAGTGACCACTTGGACCAGGTATCACTGCACCGCTCAATGAAATCATGTATGGGCCCGGGTGGTATTCGCTTCCCAGGGTAGTCAAGAATGCCGCGGGTGCGCCCCCCGGAGTTCTGGCCAAGAATCGACCGAGATCTGCAAGAAAGCCGATCGCTAGAAGGTGTGGAACCCGAACCGCCCCCAACGGTGCAAGAAAACCCGGATTTTTGGCATTCCATTTCGAAGGGGTCCTCTGCTTGCCTGGCACCACGAGCAAATAAGCACGCCGCTGATGACATCCTAACACCACGTCGCTGTCGGTTCGACCCGTTTTATTCTTCCATCTGCTTGGGTATCACTACCACTACCGGCAACGGAGTAGACCATTAACTCCCGAGTGCTAATTTTGGAAACGGCTCAGGGGTCTTAACCGTCGTCGCTCAGATCGGAGGCTGAACTACATTGACCACCTACTTTGCTGATCAACGGTCCTCCTCGCCCAATGTAAAACCCTTCTGCCAGGTTGGTCAGAACCTTTCGTCTTCCCAGTCATGGAGGCCAGCCCCCGTGGAGTACATAGGCAAAGCCAATTTTTAATGCACCTCACTTTTTGGTACACTACGTGAAGCCAGCCGTCGCGTTGAGATCTACTATATGATCGACCCCTGCAGCACATAGAGGAAGCTCACTACACCTTTCCCAACCAGTGGCTTCATGGATGTCATGAGTAGTCATGAGATGCTCCCCCACGCGAACTTCAAGCATCATGACAAGGTTCCCAGGCTCTACTGATGGAGCCATTACGGGACGTCCGTTACATCCTCGACAAAGACAACAGCAACTCATGTTGTCTTTCACCTATTCACACATCTATGCACACAAACCCTTCAATCAAGGATCAAAAAATCCCCATTGAAGTTCAAAGTCGCTTGAGCAAACCAAAGCCTCTCCAAGTTTCACACGATCCTGGCAGTGGGGGACTGCTCGTATCGGATCGCATCTCTTATTTATCTTCCACACATCCATGTGCAGGACTTTTTTTAAAAAAAAAAGGTCCAAACAGTAATCCTTTAGTGCAAAGCGAGCTCAAACACCCAAAACCCCATTCTCAGTAGGCTGCTAGTAGGGAAAGCCATCATGAATGCGCGGGTACTCTTCCCTTACTGATACTCCTTACTCCATCGCCACAATGCATCACTCATCGCCTTGCCGTTAAACCCAGGAAGCGGCCCCTGATCCCAACTCTACTACCCCTTATTCTTAGCTGTTCTGCGTTCTGCTCGTGTTCGTCAACGAATCTCACGACTTGGGATTCTGAGAAACACTATATGTCCAAGTCATGATTCTCCGACTTGATGTTCCTTAGAAAGTTGCGGGAATGAATTACTGCTGAGCAGAAGAGAAACAAGTTGTTTAGAGAATGCCCTTTTATAGGCGACCACCCAGGGTTGCCAGTTCAAAGTCCGCCCTTCCGACCAGGACGGTCTATGACGGGCGGAATGTCGGAGCATCGTTCAATTTCCTTTCTTTTAATATACCAACTATCTATCGCCTGCCGAATGCATACCATACCCATGGCTCGCTCCTTCTTAAAATGATTTCTACAGCCAAGGCGGTCCTGGCGAGCTCAACAATATTACAGCCGTCCATCTATTTGTACCTCGCTCCCCAGTGCAGTTTTCGAGGGACCCTTAGATGCAAAAACTTTCGCAGAATGAAGTAGGCATCGTGGCGGGCCAGCAATCAGGGCATCGCACAACGAACTTTCTTAAGATCTCCATGAGCGTCCTCAAAGCGGATGGACACGTGGAAGGCAAAATGACCTCAAAAAACTTGAATATGTAGTATAATGCATGTGTGCGTAAAGAAATTGGTATCATAGATCGACGCACCAACCTCACATCGATCTCAAGCGAGTGAGGAGCTACAAGTTTCCTATCTTTCTTTATAGCAGAGTCAACAAGACAATAGCATGCCTTGGAAGCCATAATAATACCGCTTTTCCCTCCCGTATCTGAATCGTCAATGCAATGGGTACGGCCCAGTGGCTTCCACTCTATCTTTCAAACGTATTCATCCATGCCCCAACTCCGGTGCTATACTTCCAATCATGAAGATTCAAACATGCAAAAAGCCTTGGAGCAATTGTCGCCGCATCACAATACCTCCAATGAGCCAACATTCAATAGTGTTCTCACATCACAACACACTTCTTATCCTTCTCTGATTTACCATGAGTGGCATTCCTACTAGACGTGGAAACTTCCGTCCACGCAGTAGAGCTCGCGACCTCTTGATCAACCTGCTTCTTCTTTTTCTTCTTCTTTTGGGAACCATTCCAACCGCGCCGTTTCGCGTCCTTGATGTTCTTAGCTGCACTCCGCTCAGCACGACTGGGTCTTCTGTTGACCGAAGAATGCGACTGCCGGCCCGCAGACGACGACGGCGCCTGTAGCCATGCCGGCATCAGACTTCTGCTGCCAGAAGCTTCAGGCCGGTTTGTGGAGTTTGTGCTGTATATCGTTTCGAGACGTTCCACAGTCGGTCGTACCGGGCCCGATTGGGTTGGGCGTGGATGACGCGGAATCGGGGCCAGTAGAGGCATCTCGGTTCTCCGGTTCGATTGCTGACGAGTAGGCGCATCGAATGCGCCAGTGACGCCGCTAGGTGTGCTGATGATCAAGGGTTGGTCTTCGAACTGTGATTCGGCAACTTGAGTCTGGTTCTGAGCTTGTCCCTGGGCTTCTGAAGCAGGCTGCGAGACAGGCTGTGGGACAGATGCCCGACGAGATCCAGGCCGGCGGCTTCCCACTGGTACGCGCTGGACTGAACTGAAGTTTCCAGAAAACCGTCTAGATGGAGGCAGCTGCTCATGGCCCCGCAGACTGGCCAATTGATCTGCCATGGGGAATGGTGGCAGTGAAGACCCGGCAATGTCGTCGAGTCTTGCGTCAGTCGCAGGAGCGGAGTAGGGGTGGCTGTTTAAGGGACCGCCATCTGGACGAATGTGAGATCCATCACCTAGCTGCGCAGATCTAGGCCAAGTTGACGCATTGGAAAGGCGTCTGACTAACGGCAAGTCAGTAGTAGATGCTGATTGTGGCTGTCGCAGCCCCGCAGTATTTGCAGAGGAACCTGATGGAATCTCCAAACCCAGCGAGGGAGGCGCCTGAACCTGCTGAGCGACCGGGGATACGACTGATTGCTCGGGAGAAACTGCCTCAGAATCTTGGTGTGTCCCAGAGCTTGATGGTCGAGCCTCTGAAACTTGGCTGACCATCCGCTGGTCGTCAGGAGAGATGGCATGAGTTTCGCTCTGTCTTCTCGCCGCCATCTGTGGGGAGTCTGGTGGCGAGACGTCATAGATATCATCGTCAAGATCAACATGGGCCGAAGGGCTGTGCGTCGGACGAACTGCCGAATCTGCAGTGCGCGGCCGGCTCATGAGCGTCGAGTCACTAGCTATACGCAGATGATAGCTGGCATTAGCCGGGGGGCTGTTGACCGGCTCTTGATAGCTTAGAGGGCGGCCTGATGATTGAGATAGAGCAGGTCGCGTCGGGAGAGCCCACGCCGATGCGCCAATGGCAGGCGCGGCTGTTTGGGTCCTCGCTGGCTGACTCGGTATCTGCACATCGCCAGGTGTAATGACAGCGTTCCGTAGGAAAGAGGGCAAGTCACCGGGGTCGTCCTTTTGGTAGGGAGGCGGCGGTGGAACCCAGTTGTCGGCGTCGCTCTCGTGAGGATGCTCACGTCGGCCGTCAGCTCGCCGATACTCTACCGGTCCAGCGGCCGGCGGTTGCGGGTGGCGGCTTCGGTTCATAGCAGCAGCAGTGGCAGCGCGACGGAGAGTGTTGGTGGAGCGGGGCCCGTCATGCGAGTAAGGGGCTTCGACTGCCTCCTCTGCCTCTTCTTCTCCAATCATCGAGGCGGTCTCGCCTGCCCCAGGTGCCGAAGGTGAGGTTGGCTCTTGCACATTGATACGCGGGGCTGCTCCAATTCGCCTCGGAACGAGAGGGTCGTCCTCGACGTTATCGTTGTCGGCTTGTCGTTCTTCTCGGGGTTGTGGCATGGGCGGCATCGGTGGCATCGACGGCATAGACGGCAAAGGGTTGCTCCGGGCTGCAGCGCTCGTAGCTGCACGCATCAAGGCACCGCGATCTCCCCGTTTCTGAGCCACAGTCCTGCGACGTACAATAGCCACTTCGGTATCGATATCTCTTTGCTCCTCTTCGAGCACCTCAGGCTCCTTGGTGCCCACTTCAATCTCAATCTCCGTTCTAACACCATCTTCGATATTGTAGTCAAAGTCTAGAAGGGTAACTCTGCCACCGTCAATGAAGTCGATGTCGTCCTCCTCAATGATGGATTTTCCAGGGGAGATGCCCCGGGCTGCGATGACGAGGCGCTCCTGTGCCGATGTCTGACCAAAGCCCGCAACCCACTTCACCGTGCTGACACCGTCGAGTTCGGCAATCTTTGCACCCCAGATGAAAGTGTTCCGGAGCTTATCACACAACATTTGCCATTGGGGGATCCTTGGGTTCTCTTGCGCCCGGGACGATGACGAACG